TCCATTTATAACAACCTTCTGCTTTCTTCCATCCAGCCACTCTTCTATCCAATTCTCTAACTTATCCCTCACACCTATAGAGATAATTGTTTTCAACAAGCCTTTTATGTGTCACTTTGTTAAATTCTTTCCCAGATAATTATCAAAAAAACATTGTTTTCTTGGATTTTGAGAAAGCATTTGATAAAGTATCACATCTAAGACTAATAGATAAAATATAAATTTAAAGGATAAGAATTATTACATTAGAATGTTTTAAAACATACTAATTAAAAATAATACAGATGTTAAAAATATATAATAATTTTAGTGAAGAAATAATGTTCAAGTATGGTGTTCCACAGCATTCTGTAATAGGACCAATATTATTTAAAAAATGTATAAATGTTTTTTTGTGATGTATCATTAAGTTTCACCTTATCTGATATAGAAGAATTACAGTGTTAAATAATATCTGGTTTACAAAAGTTGGAATTTTTAAAATAACATCTTAGAATATATGTGGGTTTTTAAATTAAAATGAATAGAAGTGAAAATAATTTTCAATTGTATATTCGTAGTAATGGGTGTGTAAAATATATCTATTGTAAATATTCATATATTTAAAGAGTGAGTGTTATAAGTTATTTAGGTTTATACTCCTCGAGGCCATAACAACTTATGATAAATGTTAAGTACTATGATAAAAAAAAGCCTTTATATGAAGAAAAACTTAAAACAATTTTTCCCTTTAACTTAATATGTAACATGTAAATTCCCTCTCTTGACATTCATTTCGAACACTCATTTCAGGCTGCTTACATGATTTTTGCCTCTTAAATGTATGTTGTTTGAGTCCCCTATATTTGTATAGTTATAGCACAGATGCTTATGGTATTTAACGTTTTCTACATAGTCTACATTCTTCTGATGAAGTATTAACATTTTTGGCTTGGAATAATCCCATGCCCTAGACCTCCACAGAATTAGCATGCTTTGCATAGTATGTGTTGGCTTTTGATCTCTCAAGTTAGACCCCCCCCCCCCCTTTTAAATATTTTGCATACTGGCCTGATCCCATGTTTAGTGTATTTTACATTGTATCAATTTGATTAATAAAACATTAAAATGTGTTTCAAAACCTGAACAAAAACATGCACTGTTAAACTTTGTGTAGTTTTTCTTTATTTTTACAATTGTTTGACAATTTTAGATTTTTTTTTTTGTCACGCCAAGCAGATAGTATAGTTGGTTTTATGTTATTTGAAAAATAAAGAATAACAATTTTTGAAAACAAAGTTGATAGGAGTTATTTACTTTATTTTTTAGCATTAAACAATGCGATTCTTAAAACAAGGATTGTTTGATTTTGATTTTTTGTAAAAGTTGAATATAATAATGACATGACAAAAATCATACCTCAGGTTTAAGTTGGAAAGCTCCCTATAATTTTATGGTTTCACCAAAAAATATTCAATCACTATAAAAATATAAGTTTTTGTTTTTTACCTTGGTGAGGGTTGTTGCCTTACTCCACTTGTGTATTAAGTGTATCTTTAACCCATTAACTGCGGATGACATATATTACAGTCATTGAAGTTTTATGGCTCAGCTGCGAATGACGGAAATATCAGTCAGTCGCACATATATAACTATAACTCTATGCGAATGATGAAAATTACCGTTTTATTGTGATCGATGGCAACTCGGTTTTATCTGTGAGTCAGAAAACGGCAACTGAGCTGCTCCTGCAGCAGTTAATGGGTTAAGTGTAAGAATCTCTTCAGGATAGAACATGGCATTTGTCATAATGTTATCTTCAATAATGCACTCACTGAGGCATATTTGTCTTTGTTATGGACCTGATATCCTAATTTTGAGGACTGGGTTTACAAATTGATAGAAATTTTTAGCTGGAAACAACATGTTAAGAATTTGGTGAACACATTAAGATTTATGATTATTTGAAAAAATTAAGTTTTCAAATGTTAATTCTTCATTTTTTATGGGTGCAGTAAGTTATTCATTATAGAATTTTGTTTTGGAGAGAGTCTAATATAACTGCATAAATTGATTCAATACAGAATACTATTATAAAAATATTATAAGGATAGAAATGAAACAGTTAAAAAATATTTGATTATATGATTTTCCTGTGAGGTATTTATTAATATATTTAGATTATTATTATTTTCAAAGAGCCATCCAGTGGCTCAACAGGAAGTCTGGAGTCTTATAATACTAAAATTGATAACTGAGGTGGGCATAGCACAGATAACCTCCTGTGTAGTTTTGTGCTCATTAACAAAAATAAACTTACAAAGAACAGAAGTTGTGTACCAATTAAAAAAAATGTTTATTCCAGTAGAATGCAGGATCTAAAATATATATAGTTCCAATAGTAAAACTAGGCAATTACTAGAATTTGAAAATCGATTGTCTGTCTTATTAATAATTTACATTCAACTAATCGATTATTCTAATGACACTTGGATAATTGGAATAATCAGAAACATTAATTTTGATTAGTTGATTATTTTCATGAGGAGCGATACTAATCAATTAGGCTTAACAACTTGAATTGATTGAAAATAATAATTGGAAATCATAATGGCAATATTTTGAGTATTTGATATTTGGAATAATTGAAAACACTAATTAATAGACACACTAATTTTGGTTTGTTGATTAGTTTGATAGCAGTAATTGATTATACCATAATTTAGATTAATTAATTAATTTACATGACACTAATCAATGTAATCTGTGCTTATAGATAATTTATTGTATTGATTTAATTAAGTTAAGCACTTAGTTCTACGTAGTTATTAAAAAAAGAGATAATGCACACATTTTTTTTTATTCAGAACCAAAGATATTTAATGCTTTGCCATTAATTTTAAGAAATAAAAATAATATAATTAAATTTAAGGTACTAGACAGGAAATTTTTATTTAACTGTGAAAGTTTAGGTTTATTTGAGGTAATGAAATGAATTATTTCTAAGTTAATTTTGGAATAAAGAAAATTACTAATTTTACATTTCAGCTGTACAGATAGATATAAAGAAATGTACTGATTAACTAATGCTAGTAAACCAGATGAGCTAAAAGTTATTGTATTTTTACAAAACCATATATTTGTACATTTTCTGTAGGTGTTTAGTTTTTTTTTAATTTATTAATTTTATTCTTTAATCAACAATCAAATAAGTTTTTTGTGGACAAATTAAAAAAAAACTTCACAGATTAATGTTACTAATTTCTCTTTTCAGAGTTTATATTAACAAGTTTCTTCCAAAATTAGCTATCCAAAGTTCCATTCCCTAAATCATTAAATGAGTAAGTAACAAAAAGATTTTAAAATGACTATTTTTTTAGTCTTAGGAATGGCTGTATTTATGATATATGACTTGTGTGTGTCATATGTTTAGAACCAAGGTTAAGAATGCACATTTTTTATCCTTATTAGTGGTAAACACTATCTGTTTCTAAATGTTTTGAAGATGGTGTGACTAGATAATGAAGAAAATTTTATTATAAATTACAAGATTATGTTATCCACAGGTACAAGTAGTTTACAATGACACATCAATATATATATACACACACACACACACACACACACACACACACACATGCAGTATGGAACAGAGGTCACTTGACCAGATATGCTTCACAACCTAGTATAGGTATCTTGGTACCTTGCGGTGTTGATTTAGGGTGGGGAGGTTTTGTTCAATTAATTTGTTCTATAGATATACTTTTTTTTTAATTGCAATGGTGGTGAACATGGGATGTTTTTTGTTTTTTTTCTCTCTACAATAGAGAATTTTGGACATTTATTGCACATTATTTTATATATATGATGTTGGTATTGTGTGACTTTATGTAATTTTTATTTAATTATGAATTTAGTTTTGGATAAATTTGAAGTCAACAGGAAATTTGTTTGGCAAATTTTTTCCAAGTATTGATTATTTTTGAACTGAGAGATAAATGGTAAACTGTAGAGTAATGTTATTTGGTGTATTAATGTCAATTTTGTTTGTGAGTTGAGTTTTGTGATTTTTGTTCTGGTGGTTTAGTGGAAATTTGTTAGTGTTAATTTTTTTTCATCTATGTAGTCAGTTGAGCAAAGTCTTGAAGCTGTGTCTATAAGGTTTTTTAGTATATTGATTTTTTGTTTGGATTCATTGGTGGAATTCCAGGGTATGTAGAGGCCTGTGTAAATTATTTTTTGGTGAATTTTGGTTTTGAACTGTGTGTCAGAGCAAATAATGTTGAGGTTAAGAAAATATTATTTTCATGTTCAATGGTGAATCTAATGTTAGGTTAAATGGAGTTTGTGTTAAAAGAATGTGTGTATGTATTTGGTGAAAGTGAAACCAGCAAAAGTATAGTTGACATAACTGTACCAGTATAGGGGAGGATAAAATGCAGACTGTATGGCTTGTGTTTCATTCTGGATCATAAATATGTTGACAAGAACAGGTGAAACAACGTTGCCCATGCTTAAATCATGTGTTTGAAAAATGTTTTTTGTTGTTTGAAAATGAAGTTGGATTTTGTCGTTGTGAATTCTAAGATGGTACTGAAGATGTGAATTAAAGGATTGAGGTCGTTACAGTAGAGATCAAGTGCAATATTACAGGCTTCTTTGATGGGAACTTCAGTGAAAAGTGACACAGCATCAAAGCTAGCCATTCAGGCTTTTGGGTTTAGTAGATTGAATGTGTTTCTGAATTTAAAGACATCTTTAAAAAAGGAACCTGCAGAAGTTATGTAAGGTGTGAGGGCTCAGGCTATGTATTTACCAAGATTATTGTTAAACGATTCATAAGTGGATAATATAGGTTATATGTGGCAGTCATGTATGTGTAGTTTTGGAATACCATAGAGTTGTGGTGTGCTTGAGTCAGTTTTCCTTGGGTAAAAAAGAAAGATCTTCAGTAATCAAGTTGTCTTTCTTCATTTTTGACAGGGTTTTGTTCAGTTGTTTTTCATGTTTTTGTTGGGTATTTTTACGATGAGTTTAAATTTCTTATTGTCTCAAAGGATGTTCTTCCTTTTGTCAATGTATTCTGTGTTCATAATTATAGCAGTGTAAGCTTTTAGAATTTTAATGTTAGTTATCTTTTTTCAGATTCTAGATGCATTTTATCTCATTGCTTGTGAGATTGGTCTTCAGTTTACATGTTTGGTTGACAACATTTATGGTTTTATTAGAGAATTCTTTGAAAAAGTTGATTAAGATGCAGTTTTTGTGAACTTCACGAAACCACATTTTGTTATAATTACCTATCACAAAATCTGGCACTTAAAGTTTTGGATTTCTTGTTGGTTGCTGTATAAGATGGAGGTAGCCTTTTGTTCTTTTGTGTAGTGAATTACTAGTCCTCTGGATAAATCTTCTAGGCTGGGAACTGTCTTATGGGTGATGGCTAAGTTGAGGCTTTTGCTCATAAGTTGTAGTTCAGTGTTGTTTAGTGGTCGATCTGATCTATTGATTAACAGGATTAGGTTGTGCTTTGTTGTTGTAGTTTTCTCAGTTGTTCTAGTTTTTTGCTGTGTACAGATATCTTCTTTTGATTCAATATGGAGTTGATTTAAATATTATTTTACTCATCTGGTTTGAGGTAGCTGGTAGCATGCTGTTTCTGATGTGTGTTTCAAGTGTTATTTAAATGTACATTGAGGACACATATGAGTATATTTTTGTTAAATTGTTTGATTACCGATTTTCAGTTTGTGGTATTTCATACCGTTTCTGTTATTTCCAGGCCTGATGTACACAATGTGCTCTGTCCTTTAAGGTGGTGATCAAAATCTTTTCATTACCATTTTTAAAAACTGGGCCATCATGGAGATCTTTCTTCTTTTTCCTTTATGAGTCCAAATGCCAGTTAACTGCTGATAAACTGTAAGGTTTATTTTATGTATATGTAGTAATATGGGTATGGGTGTGTGTGTGTTTTGAACTATTTTTGGTTGATTAGTATTAAAAGTATTGACAGAAACAAAGCTCTCTTCCTGTTAATTTTACACTGTATTTTTTAATTACATGCGTTACCTAAGATATCACTTACCAAATAGTTTCTAGTATATCACATTTTTTACTATTTTTTTTCTTAGATAAAGTAATTGATGCATAAAGTTTTTGTTAGGATTTAAAAATTGTTCATTACCTTCAGAAATGAATCATAATAGTTTAATTTTTTAGGTGTAATTTAATAACTTTTAGTGTAAATCTTTTAATTCTTTATTAGAATTGATGACAGTCATCACAGAATTACTTATGAATCATAATAGTTTAATTTTTAGGTGTAATTTAATAACTTTTAGTGTAAATCTTTTAATTCTTTATTAGAATTGATGACAGTCATCACAGAATTACTTATGAATCATAGTAGTTTAATTTTTAGGTGTAATTTAATAACCTTTAGTGTAAATCTTTTAATTCTTTATTAGAATTGATGACAGTCATCACAGAATTACTTATGAATCATAGTAGTTTAATTTTTAGGTGTAATTTAATAACTTTTAGTGTAAATATTTTAATTCTTTATTAGAATTGATGACAGTCATCACAGAATTACTTATTTTAAAAAACTTTAAATGTACTGAACATTATTTAGTTACATTTTCTTTAAAATTTTTATTCAGTAAGGGTATTTTAGTCAGTTTTGAGCATCATCATAATGTTAAAAATGTCCAGTTACTTAGAGTAATGCTATGCAGTTTTATATAATTTTTCCTTTTTTTTATACCAAATCTTTATTTTAATAGTTTTAAATTCATGACACTTAATTTAGTAAAGCGTTTCTGTATTTTTATAATAACTTGCACCTTTTTAGGTTTTGCAAGATTACAAAAATTATATGCTCCTTTGGAGTTATGAAGCCATGGCAATATGAATATAATGCTTCAATAGATATATAACTTGAAATTAGTTGTAAAGGTCAACATACAACTTCGGTATTTGTGGCATATTTTTTTGCAGAACTTCTATTCATATTTACAACAAAAATATGCAAGATGAATCTACTTCTTTTTTTTTTTGTTTATACATGCAACTGAAACTCAAAATCTCCTTATTTAGATACATGCACAATTAAGTACAGTATATACTTTTGTTATATTTCTATAATGTACTAACTGATAAGTCATTAAAAAGTTATTCTAAATGTTCCATTGCATTTTGTTACAGATTATAATTTTGTTCCCAATAAACAACTTATGATAGTTTAACTGCAGCTCTTAGCTATTTTTTTTTGTTTTCACATGTCCCCCTTTCAATGTGTTAATTATTAAATGCTAAAATCTAGGGTCTGATTCTCCACGGTGGACAGAGGTGCAGGTAGTGCATTGTGTAGCTTTGTGTTTACAAACCACCACAAACAAACAAAGTAATAAGTATTTATGGAAAAAATATCACAAGACTACTGGTATGTACCTGTTTGTTTGATATTTATAGTTACATGTTAATTAAGAAAAAATTTTAATTTCTTTATAGCTTTTTTCTTTTTACAAACAAGTTAAAAGATATTTTGTTCTGTTTCACCTGTAAAAACAAAAATTAACATGTACATAGCATTTCTTTTACACTTAGCTTTTTCATGTTTATTCATAATGAAAAAGATATTTTTATTGGGGTGGTTAAATTTTCAACTCTATAGAAATATGGCCAGGAGAAGTACAAATTATAAGAACATTGTATTTAATGAATTATTTTCTGAAAGAACTTTTGAATATTCTCTACTAACAAAAGTGACTTTTATTTGCAACTGTGACCAAAAATGTTCACCAGTTTCTCACTGAACTTTTATTACCTCTTTTCAAGAAAATTTAAAATATTCATGAAAGAGTTGATCAAGTAAAATGCAAAATTAAATGTAACACTGTGGTCATGATGTTTATTTTTTTATTGTGATAGTTTAATTTGTAAATGTTTCTTATTTATTAGCTTGAACATTAATAACTGTAAAAGAAATTTTATGTCATTAGAAAAAGGATAATTTATCATGACTTTAAGGTTTTATTAACATACTAATTTTTAATAGGATTTAATTTTAATTTCAGAGTCATCTGGTGGACAATAAGCCACAATTATTAGACTCCAGGGGAGTTTCAAACTTAAGTGAAGCATTGTCCAATAGGATGACTTATTGGACCTCATGCTTGGCAGTTTGCTTGGGAAAGAGAAGAGACTTGACCATCTAAGATCTGATTCATTTGAAAATATTCAGAAAAACTGGACTGTGCCATTAAATTCACAAAAGCAAAACTCTAATTACCTGCAGAAAGTTGTGGCCTTAAACTCCTTTTTTCAAAAGTGACTCATATAAAATTGTTCTAACTTGTAAGTAAAGAGGGAAATTAAGATATCAGTAAGTTTTTATCTTTTTATAACCAATTACTTACATTTCAGAATCATACAATCCAAGACTGGTGACTGAAAATGTATTTATCAATTTAGCTTTTGACTAACATATTTTTTATTGGAATAGTTACAGTGTGCTCCTTCCTGATAGGTCAGCAAAAATTTTTTATTTTAAAATTGAAAACAAATGATAATCCCTTTTCACACTTACCAGACAATAAACTAACCTGTGAAACAGGCATGAGTTAATTTTATTCTTGGAAACAATTCATACCTTTGTAATCAGAACTTAGATTGAATTGCTTAGATATTGAATCTCAGTACTGAGCATTTTCAAGACCTTTATTTATGCTATTTTTTTACCAGGTGTTTTGAATTATTTACTTTTTATACCATTAATTTATTGATACATGTTGCTATTGTAACATTACTGTGTGAAACAAGCTGAATAACTAGTGATGCAAGTATAATTTATATAAAGGGTTAAGTCCCATTGCTACGAAATTGTGTTTAATACTTTGGAGTCAAGGGTATTTTTATAAAAGTGACAATCAAATTCCATTATTCAATTAGGCTAAGAGTATGTGGTGGGTGCTGTTGACTATCTGCCTTCCCTGTAGTGCATCAGTTCAAAGTTAGCAGATAGCCCTTACAAAGCTTTGTGTTAATATCTGAAACAAACAAAATGAAGTGTTAAGATGAAGATTGAATGCTAATTAAAAAACTAAGATTGATCTTTTACTTTGCCATCACATGGTTGATTAATGTAAAGAAGCAAAGTTAATGTTCTTTTACTGGATTGCTGAAGTTTGAAACTGAAATTCAGCTTTGTGAATTTTGTAGTTATTTGATACAAAAAAGAAATTCAGTACCATTAGTGAAACGTGTATAATTTGATAAGAAGTGTATTGACTAAATTCGTAGCTGGAATAAATGTGACAAACAATTTATTTTTTAATTATAAAAGTTATATCTTTAATTTTTGTGTGATGGAAAGTTATATATCATATTAACACAGAGAACTATTAACATGAACCACCACACGTTTATGCCACTGATCCATGGAATATGAAGTGAAATTTTAGCTACAAATTTGAAGTTAGGTTTGGTAATACTTTGCTTTAAACTTTCTCCAGTGACTTAATTTATTGGCGTATTCAGATTTAAATAATGTTTTAATATATATTCGTTGTTTCGTAAGCTAGTATTCTTAATATATTTTTCCAAAATTTTCTGTATATAACTTGGGTGTAGACATCACGATTCTGGAGGATGAAAAAATAAATACTATTAGATAAATTTTTAGTGTAAGTTTGCGATATTTTTGGTTATAGGCCGTAACGTTGGGGGTAATTAGTAATAACATTGGTATTCACGAGATGGCGGTATAAGCAAGTAATTTTTTTAATATAAATTTTGACTTGTCCAATATACAACCTGTTTCTTTCGACTATAGTTAGTCCTTCTGAACAAGAATGTCAACTTTTAATACTCGTAAATTGTTTAAAATTATTCTTTAGTGTTTAAACTTTAGTCAAAGACCTAGGTATATTAATACAATAAAAAATTTTACTGAGCATGCGCCATTCTTGAGGTTGTAATCCAGGATCCGGTCAGCTGGGAGGTTGAGTGTGTGAGTGCCATGAAAGGTGAATTTATTTTATTTTTATGTGTTTTCTTTTGTTTTTTTTTAATTAGTTTATAACGAATTACAGTGGTTATTATTATTCCAGTGTTTTGTAAGTCAGTATTTATTATAACGTTGCATTTTAGATAGGTAGGCCTAATGCTTAAAACCACTCCCACCGAATATTGTCAATATAAACGAGCTTACAGTTACAAGTTGCACTAAAGAAGGCAGTGTGTATGCACCCGTAAGTTTAATAGAAAATCTTTATTCTTTTTGAATAGTTGTGAAGGTACTAACGAATTTTGCAAGATATTATTGTAAGACACTTTTGGAAAGATTTAAAATTCAGGTTAGGACACTTTGTCAGTGAAAATGCCACACTGTGCTGAAACGAGCATTTCATTTATTTTCTTGTTTAGGGATATCAAAATGTATTAAGCGTCTATAATGTTAAAAGTACAAGTAACAGATATTTGAATAATTACGCCCATGAAATCAACACTTTATCTAACTTTTCAGAAAAGCGAACATATTGGTGTAGCCGATGTGTTTGTCTAGCATCAGGCTAATTCCTTTCATATAGACAAGGTCAAAGAAGGATTATGTAAAAACAGTACTACTGGTTTATAAAAGAATGTTTTGCGCTGTTTAAAACGTATAAATCAACACTGAATAGTGAAACCCATTTATAAAAAAAATATGTAAAACTTTCTGTTTAAAACGTATTTACAGGAAATTTAGAGAAATTGTTAAATGTGCACAAAGTTAATTTGTTTTACAAAGTTTTTAATCTTATTTTTCAAATTACACGAAAAATATTTAGGGTTATATTCGATTAATTTCTTGCCTCATAGCAATTTACAGATGCCCCCCAGTGGCACAGCGGCATGTCTGCGGACTTACAACACTAGAAACCGGGTTTCGACACCCGTGATGGGCTGAGCACAGAAAGCCCTTTGTGTAGCTTTGTGCTTAACTTCAAACAAACAAATTTGACATATTTTTTTTCAAATCTTTAAAGATGAAGAAATAACGACTTACATTGCTATCTATTTTATCATGTACGTTTCAAAGTGCCGTATTATTGGTGAGTGAATCTTGTGAAAATGACCGTACATGCATGTTGTTCCATTCATTGATGGGAATTGTAAGATAATACTATGACAAAACACGATAGATGCATATCGAAACATGATATATACTATATACAACTGACAAATACGTGAATATTTTCATGTTATTGAAATTATTTCAAATCAACTTTCATTATTAGTAATTTATTTCTTTGTGATTTTATTCACTAAGAATATATTTTCCTGTTGTATTATTAGCCCATTTTGTTTTCGTGTTAACACCTGCGCACAGTTGTACGTGTTCATGAACTCTACTTCGACATTCTGTTGCTGCATGTCAGAAGTATTACATATTTAGTGCTGTGGTGGATATTCCAGGCCTGTATAAACGACATGTGTCATTGACTCTGACGTCTATAGTTTGTTTCAAGTATTATTGTCACTTAACCATTTTAACTATATTTGTGTTAGACTGCAGCTAGTTTGTATAATTTTGTGCAGTGATCGTCAAGTAACGTACACAACTAAGGTGGTTTATTAAGCGGCAATGTTTTAACAGTAAATAGATGTCATCGCTTAAATTTTATGAACCATACTATACAAAAGAGACGAATGTGTAGAACAGAATATGTGTGTGTGTGTATAATATATATATATATATATAT